CTGCTACTGCTACTGCTACTGCTACTGCTACTGCTACTACTACTGCGACTGCTATTGCTACTGCTACTGCTACTGCTACTGCTGCTGCTGCTGCTGCTACTACTACTACTACTACTACTACTACTAGCAGCACCAATGCCGATGCCCATACCACATCGGCCGCAACTGCCAGTTTTACCCCCACCAGCGCCGCGCCACCACCTCCACCACCTTCAGCAATACCCATCCCCGCCCCACCGACACTGTGGCTGCCACCTTGGTCGAAACCGAGGTTGTAACCAGAAAGCGCCATCAGTAAAGTCCCGCCGATGTCATACAGGCGGAGGCTTGGGCCAAGCAGCGTGATGAAGAGGACCTCGAGGTGGCTCTGCGAAACCACGGCTTGGTTCACAGCTCTGGTTGAGGCATGTAAGAGAGTCTTTGTCTTTGTGCTTTCATGATGAGCAAATCTAATGTCGGCCGGCCACATTGTAGGCGGGTCTTGTAAAATGAGACACTCAGGTCACTCCGGCTGCAGGATTCGATTGTAGATTGTGGGTGCGAAACTTGGGACACGAGCACTGAGTAGCCTCCACCTCAAAGTTACTTCGTTGGTCTTGCAGCAAGGAAACGTGTTGTGTGGCTTTTGGAGTAGTCAAAAGGACCACTATTGCAGCACATCGAAAAGAAAGAAGGCCACAGGAGGGTCTCTAAACATGGTCAAGAGATCTTCTAAGAGCAAGTGACATGACTTAGGCTGAATATGCTGCTGTCGACGAAATTGGCCAATGAGCGTTTCGTGCATCGGAAAGATTGTGCTGATGTGGGTCTCGCCCAAGGCCTGCTAAAACCAGGTATGCCAGATGTCGAAGCAACCGTGCATTTCAGAGATAAACCTTCGGCTTGCGAGCTTTCCGAGTGCCAGAGCCTGAAGCATCTTATTCACAAGAATTCCCTGCTGCGCTGCTGGAGATCTGTTTTCTAGGCTTCCGGTCAACATAGGCCCTCCGCCCAGGTTCGCTTTCGTTTCTTAGTTCCCGGGCTTCTGCGGATGGCAAAAAAAGCAAGGGGATGAATGCTCGGGTTGTGGAAGTCAAAGTTATGAGTACTCGGGGCTCAAACATGTTGAATTGTCAATGCCTAAGTCCTGCATCTTTGCGGGGCAAAGGTCCGGCAAGCTTGTGCATCTATATTCTGAGGCTTGGATCGAGGTCTTCGGGTTTGCTGTGCGCACTTGATGTGCTGATGTCCTGTTATCGCGAGCGCGCGAGGGTCTGCCGAGACTTGCAACTGCTGTCCGCCTGCAGCCGTTAGAGTGCACCCTGACATGGAAGAGGCATGGGAAAGCCTCTGCCGATCTTGTGTAGACTGATCTTCTACGCAATGTCAAGGTACTTCTAGTAGACCTAGCTTCTCTCTTACAGTTAAGTTTCTCTTTTGAGGATACCGCAGGGTGCTCTCTGGTACAGGTTACGCCATTTCGAGAGCCCGGAGCCTCAGACGAGGCTCAGAGATGCTTTCCAGATTCTCGCGTCGCTCTGAGGAAGATGGCTGCACCAAGGCAGGGATTGAAAGCTTTCACATCGGGCGAATCTCCATGGACTTTGCTCCTGCCCCCTGACTCGCCTGCTCATGTACAATGGATTTCCTGGGTACGCGCTGCGGCCTCCCAGCATGGGCACTCTTCCTTTAATTGTAGCTTTACATTTAAGCTTTCCCCAGTCCCCAGGGTCGGGCGCACCGCACTCTGGGTAGCGCCAGCTAGGGTTTTAGCAACGAGGCCAGATGTTTTGATTCCAGGGGTGTTAGGCGGCTTGCATTTACTTTCACGGGGTTTTCTGGCTGGAGATGTAGGCTCATAAGGAATGGCCGCTGCTTGGGTATACCCTCCAGTTCTGAGCGTTCTGTGTGTTACCTGGCCGACGTAGTCCCTCTACAGGACATTTCTTTAGCAATCGTTTCTTGTACAGCAGCTGCACTGTAGATGGTGCTCAAGATCTCTGCGTTTTGGCTTTGCGCTTGTTGTTTAGGGTAGAGGTCTGAAGTCAGCATCGTTGCTGGGAGGTGGAGAGAGCGGCAAGACCGATTCCGCTTGGGCCTCGCGGATTGCTTGTGGTGTTGACCAGTTGAAGTGATCCTTGTGCAGACCGTGGTGTAGTATAAGTTGATGTCCCGACCAGATGTCAGTGGTGTGCCAACATCAGACTGAAGCAGTCTCGGGTTGACTCAGGGTGTTGAGAGCGTTGCTAGTCCGGCCGCTCACCTCTTTGCAGAACCGTGCGGCAAAGGAACTTTTCGCATCTTGGACATAGTTGATGGGCCAGGACGGAAAGCCCGCAAGAAGCTCCAAAGTCAAGTTGAGCTCCGCAAAAACTGAGGAAGTCTTCCCACGTGGCAGTTCTCTATTTTGCCCCAGGCCAGGTGGGGGGGTTCGTGTCGGAGTTCAGCTCTTGGCTTTCCCGTTTTTGCTTTTTTGGGGCCCTGGGAAGACCCCCGTGGGTGTAACTTGCCTTTTGCAACAGGAGGCCAGTGTGGAGAGAGATCCTCTTTCGCCCGGCCCTCGTGTTGCACTGGGCTCAGATCTTCGCTGAAGCCAGTCCAAGCCGAGCTGCAGGCTTTTCACTTATGTGGCCTTTTTCCACTTCAAGGCCCCTCCGATTTCTCGGAGGAAAGTGCGATTGAGCGAGATCCCAGTCCCAGCCTCCACGTTCCTCGCTAGCGGTGCCTAGCATGTTCTGCTCGGGCGTCTCTCGCGTATCATGCCTCTTCTGAGCTGTCGGACCAGAAGAGGTACTCTGCCATGAGCGCCGGCAGAAGGCAGACCGGTACAGCGGGGGCAAGGAGTGCCCTCTGCCTTCTTCAAGGGAGAGGGTTGGTCCGTTGCTGCTTGCCTTCGGCGTTGTGTGCACTCTGAGGTACTCGTGGGTCATCAAGCGGCGCTTCTCGGATTTCCAGGCGTTGGACGCCGGGCTCCGGTACCCTCCCTCTGCCCTCTGTCCTCTGTGTTGGAAGTTGATTCGACCTGCGAAGCTCAGGGCTCATGGAAGAGCTGACGAGAAATTGCCGCCGTCCGTGTTTGCTCGCAGAGAGCCGACAGACTAAACCATGATCCTTTAAAGCCTTTACCGCTCCAGCACAGCAGGAGTGTTGGGTCGAAGCGCTGTGCAACTCACAAGCCCCTCTGCTGCTTCATGCGCGATGGTGGAAGCTGCGGCTCTGGAGGGTGTCAGAGCCACAGCTGCTCACTGGATCTCTTTCTTCTGGCTGTCGCTGCTTGCCGCTCAGGCCTCACCTCTCCTGTCGCATCTCGTGCGGGCCTCTGGCTTCGGATGCCTGGTAGGTTTCGACGAAGGATTGCGGCATATTGCGGCACAGAACAGTCAGAAGCCGACTGCACCAGCCTTGAAGCCATGGACTTGTTGAAGATCCGAGCCGCAAGCCGAGGCAAATCCGCAAGCCGAGGTGTCCGAACTCCGGACCCTCCAGGAAAATCCGAGCATTGAATCGATTCATCTCTGAGGCTTTCGGATAGGGTGATTTTGGGACCACCTGCCCGCAGGAGTCCACAGATCCGGCCTTGATTTGCTGGGCGGCAGCAGGCAAGGCCCTTGAGCGGACCTTCGGGATAAGCAGAGCATGTCAGTTCCCACGCGAAGTTTCGAGCCCGAAGCCCTTGCAGAGGCCTGGAATGTCAGGCGGCCGACAACGCAGAGTCGCTGTCGAGGGATGCGGCAGGGGCCCCAACCTCGAGAGAGGCACGGGGCTACGGTACTACATTGTACTACAGTGCCGTGCTCTTTTCCCGTCTGTCTTTGGACCCTTCGAGGTGCATATCCTTTGCAGATGCTTTGCAACCATCGGAGGCTGTGCAGACTGGTATCTGAAGTGATCTGGGCAGGGGAGTCGACAGTGGTTGTAGAACGTAGAACCAGTTGGTGAGCCTGACTACAGCCGATCAGAAAGTTGCTCTGCTGACGGCTCCCTCAGGTTTCGCTAGAAGTGCCCTGAATCCAGGGCCGGGTGGAAGTCTTTGAGTGCCAATTCCAGGGCCGAGTCTTGTACGAGCGCTGGGTTCTACATTTGCAGACTCCTTCTCTAAGCATCTGAGCTCCAGCTTCGTGTACCCCTCTCGAAGTCACAATGACCTCCTTTAGCGGAGCTCTAGAGTCTGGACCTCTTCTGCCAAAGGCAACGGCGGCCTGACCGACGCTTGGCGCGAGGCCGATGGTTTGGGACGGAGTGACCGCTGTTCAGTTCCCGCCTAAGGGCCAGGAATTGAAAGACTGCATTGCAGCACACCAGCGATCAGAACACGTTTGTTGGGAAGTAGCCCTGGCAGATGCGCAGACCGGACGCATGAAATCTTTCGACATCCCGCTGTCTGCAGGCCGCGGCACCCATGCTGGCGGCTGGGGCCCGATAAAGGGTCATGCGGGCTTGCTATTCAAGATGTGCGAGAATTTGAGATGCAAAGTACGGATTTGGCTTCGCCTAGATCGCGATGCATGCCTCAAGCAGTGACGCGCTTTTAGGCGCTGGGCCACCTCTTGCGAAGCAGAGAAGGTGCCTGGTGCTCAGAAGTGAGAGTGGGCCCGTGGGACCCTTTCAAAAAGTCTGAGCTCATGTCTCTGTACCAAGCACAGACAGCTGGAATCCAAAATGACTTAGAGGGGTTTCCGTCGCTTCATCAAGCACTTCCCAACCAACTTGGGATGCCGGGCCTTCTCTTCCGACACACAAGAGGAGTCCAAGTGAAGCTTAAATTGCACAGGATCGGCAGCGCCTACGAGATGCCTTGGTCACGGAGGCCCTACACCCCGCTTTTGTCCTTGAATCTGAATAGCTTCCTGAGCTGGGGAAGCTCGCTGAGTCTCGCATTTGTCGCTTCCAGCGCTCGCTGAGTCTCGCACTTCTCTCCTTTCTCTTTCAGGCATCCTCTGGGGTGCCCTGCTGGCTTGGAACTTACATGGCTGAGGGCTTTCTCTTGCCTGTGAGAGGTTTTAGTGGTCTGGACGCTTTCTTCGGGGTTGGCATGTCTTGCAAGTCTCCTGTGTCAGGGTGAGCTTTCGAAGCCAGCTGCTTAGCACTTCATGCACCAGGCTGCAAAAGTTCCGCGAATTGCTCGAATTTCCTGCCGGGCGCTCATCCCACCATCGCATGCCAAGCTAAGCAAACCCGAAACATGAGCTGTGCTTGGCGTTCGATTAAATCCGAACCTCGGAACCTTCGTTGGCTGGGGGTTCGTGTACCCTTTACTTCCGTTTAGAAGCCGATCTTCAGTTGCACAAAACAGGCTCCATTTGGTGCTGCGGAGGCGGCCGCTTGCGAGGCACTGCCATTTCACTCTTCATTGTCGAGGCAGAGACCCCCCCAAAAAAAGCCCCCTACTGCTATGTAGTAGCATTTCTCGACAGTTGCCCAAAGGAGACAGCGAAGAAGTATGGCCCCCTGCACCTGTCAGAACCCAAGTGTCATGGGCAGGTTCTGGAGCTCCTTTGCCGGGGCGACGAGGATGGGTTAACACTGGGGGAGTTTCAGAGCCCAAGCCCTTCGAGCTTGAGCCTGGAAGCTTTTGATGGAGAGTCGTCGACCCTGCGCCCGAATTTGCTCCAGGTTCTTTGTGCTCTTTGGGCATTTGTCACCGTATTTGCCGCATTGGGAGTCCGGGTGTGGAAATGTTGGCCAGATTGACAGCTTCGCTCATGTGGACACTGTTTGCTCCTCTGGGTCGTAGAGTCTTGTCAAGTGGAGGCGAAAGTATCCAGACAGGTCCGGCATGTTAGCACGTTCTTGTGTGTGTTGTGCACCAACATCTGCGTGAACTCTCGGATTTTCCAGGAGCTCACAACACTCCTGCACCGTCAACGCCTTCTAACCGTGGCATTGCCCTCATCTGCATGGCGAAGTCAAACTGCCTAGTCCTCGACACTTTCTGGGCAGGCTACCGTAAAATTGTCGCCATCACTGCAGCACCTCGAAACTTGACATCGTCGCTTTAGCCGCTAAGCCTTGGTGCTCACAGCAATAACGGGGAGATGAAACGCCATTTTGGACTGGGTTCTCTCTGCCATTGTTTTGTAAGTATCGCGCTTGTGGCTCCCCGATTCTTCTGGATGCTGTGTTGTCGTGAGCCGTTGTGGGCTTTTGAGGTGAGCCAGCGGCTTCTAGCGACCTCCAGCGAGGAGGTACTGCAGTCTTGCTTGTGCTGGCTGGCTGTTGCTACCATGTTCGCTTCCCAGTGACAAATGACAGTAGCATGAGGATGCGATGGAATGGTAAGGATACTGATGAGGATGCTCTTTTTCGATCGTTGTTACTGGTGATCGTGATGGACAGGGGTCAGGAGACGTTTAGGGTCTGCTGCTGCTGCTGCTGGTGGTGTTTGTGTTTATGTTTGTGTTGGTGTTCCTGTTGTTGTTGTTGGTGGTGAAAATGATGATGGTGCTGCTTCTGCTACTGCTGATGATGATGGTGATGATGCGGATGGTGATGGCGATGGTGCACTGTGATGATGATGGTTTCGTTGGCGATCGTTGTTTGACAACTGCGAATGATGTTCCATGTTCTGACACTTTTGATGACTTGTTTTTCAAATGCTGAGCAATGAGTAATGCGTGTCGTTAACGCTGTAGGATGGTCACTCTTGCTGGCACATTTTGGCAGCTTTCATGTCTTGCAGCTGCTGCATTCGTGCTGTTGCAACGCACCGAATAGTCAGACGGAGACGCGTCATCTGCTTGGACGGCTGTCTTGATCTGCTAGTTGGCTGAGGGTCTACAGTTGAAGTCGAAAGGTCCTGACCCTAAACTTGCAGAGGCAGCTGCAGCTCCTGGTTGGCGGCATTTCGCTGCTTTCGGGGTCCTTCTGGCAAGTTTGAAGCTGCAGGCAGGGCTGCACGCTTTGGGCCCAAACGTGCTTTTCCGCACGCCTTAAATTGTCTGTGTGAGTACCTGTGACATCCTGTGACAGGTTGGTCGGGATGTCTTTCGTGGAAGCACGCGGGGAGGGAGGGGGATGTGGTGGCCAGGTGTTGCTACTATTTGTTAAAACGTCAAAACGTGCAAGTGTTCTGCTGACTTTACCCGCCGCATGCCGGAGTAGACAGCAGAAGAACACTATGGCAAGGACGGCACCAATTCAACACACTGAGTGATAACACCAGCAACAGCAGTTGTGGTACGAGAGCATCTCCATCACAGTCGAACGATGAATGTTTGCCATGGTATTCATAATTTGAAAGTCAATTCCCCCGAGTTGAGTGTGCGCCGCCACGCGCATTTGTTGGCGTGTGACTCGCACCGCACCGGGGCCATGTTGGAGCGTCATTATGCCCTGGTGAGCTGGATACCCAGCATTGCGGTTGCTTTATTGCTGCTTGCGGCTGGAGCGCCAGCTTGTATCGTGCTTTGCTTTTCTTTGCGACTATGGCAGGCTTTGGGGTGTGGGGTTCAGCCACTGCGGGCTTTACACTGGACTTTGGGAGTTTGTGCTTCTGAGCTACTCATTGTTTGAGTTGAGGGCTTGGTCTTTTCAGCACTCGGGGCTTGACCCTGAGACACCATGAAAGAACTAAGCCTGATTTCCAAACCAGGCCTGTTTGCCGGTGGAGTTGTGGCCGATGTTCCAGGGCACGACGACATCAAGTGGGCCCAATCTTGGATTCACCGATTTGGTCATGCAAGGGTCCGTTTCTTTACTGTCGTGATAAACTGCACACCAAACGTGAACCGGCTCCTCATCAAAACGATTTTCTTTCTGGCCTTATTCTGTCTACTCAGACAAGTAGTTGCTTGGTATATGTCACGTTTCATCGCTACCTTCCGATGGTAGATTGTCAACTCGAAGCGGAGCCAGCAAAGGACCCGAAACTTTAGGTTCCACAACCCTTACTTGGCAATAATTGTCGTGCACGGAGCAAACAAAAACAATCGACGGGCGGTGGAGAAGGGTTCTGAAATGCAGGGGGTTCGATTAACATGCCGAATTCAACCCCTAGAATCCTTAAACCCTGAACCCCCCGAGACCCTAAAACCCTAAACCCCTAAACCCTAAACCCTGATGCTCTTCTGTGAAGGCAGGCGACGCCTTAGTGCCTTGGCAGTGGGCCGCACAAGCGCAGCCAATCCTCAGCCGGGCCCGGCCCATGCGGCGGCCACCCGCTGTCGTGACAAAGACGGCGTGCGGACCAACCTTAGGGTTTATAGAAATTGCTTAGGGTTTATAGAAATTGCTTAGGGTTTATAGAAATTGCTTAGGGTTTATAGAAATTGCTTAGGGTTTATAGAAATTGCTTAGGGTTTATAGAAATTGCTTAGGGTTTGGGCCGCGCGAATTTTGACCGAAGGTTTGGACCGAAACGTTTTGACGGAAACGTTTTGACGGAATCTGTTTGACCGAGTTTTGTTTGTTGGAACTTGATTTTGAATCTGGGCTGGGACTGGGGCTGGGCTACAGCCCTCCCTGAACCCCAAGAGCCCCAAAACCTCACGCCCCAAACCCTGCAGAGGCATGCTCCGGCAGGCAGCTGCTGCATGAAATCTCGTCAGCTCATCGCGGCCGAACATACTCACCTGGGCTTCGGGTATGGGCTTAGGGCCCCTTAGGGAGTTTAGGGTTCGGGGTTTGGGGCTCGGGTTTTGCAAGTCGGCGTGGATTTAGGGTTTAAGGCTTCAGGCGTCTCGGCTCGAGTTTGTTTCTGCCCCTTTCTGGTCTACCAGTGCGGGCGCGGTACAAATATACCAGACCCCAGCCTTTCTTAGGCGTCGCCATTGCAGCCTCTGTGCGCGTGGCTAACTGGCCTGTGGCCTCTTCTGCCGGGTCTCTGGACTTGGCTTGCCAGCTGGATTGCTGCTGGTCGCTGGGCTGGAGGCTCAGCCGTGGTCGCTGCTTTCGAGCCGACCACTTCTTATTCCTCTTTTGCCAGTCGCTGCCTTAACTGTGCCGACTGGCCGCCTCACTTTGGAGGCCCGATTTATGCGTGGTTGGGTTGCCTACGGTGCCATCCTGCCGCTTTTTGTCACTGGAGTGACGCTGATTTGGGTCGGTGGAGGACCCTTTACATACAATTCGTGCTCGACGCCCTCCCAGTCCGAGTTGGCACCGTCGCCTCCGACGTCAACGTGCCCGGGCGCGCCAACGGCTTCGGAAGGGACGTACAAGGAATCTACACAAAGATATTTGGGCGCTGAGAGGGCATCACGGAAGTATGGTGCCCAAAAAATCGGAGCCCGCTGCCAAGTCCAAAGGTGGCGGCAAGCAGGGCAAACTGCCGGGCGAGAGCCCACAACAATCGCGGATAGACTTTGGACTACCGCCAG